GACCTTTGGCCTGCGGTAACCCTTGGCCCGCGGTGACCTTTGGCCAACACGTTTCCCTACTGAACAAGAACATCCCCAGTAAACAAAATAATTAGACCTCCTCCACTGAACAAGGTCAACAACTCCCCCCATAGAACAAGGGGGATAGGAAGGGGTGAGCTACATAGCTAATTATGTTTTCCTGAGCAAGCAAACACTTGGTGGCCTATTGTCAAAAAAATGCAAATTTATCCAGTTATGTTTTTATACACACACACCCACACACACACACACACACACACACACACACACACACATATATATAATATATATATATATATATATATATAATATATATAGATATATATATATATATATTACTAACCCTGACGTAGGCGTCGACAATATGAAGAGGAACCTTAGACGAGGACACCATCTCCCCGCTCTGGTCCTCCGCCAGACGAGCACCGCTAGCCTCGTCCCCATCAGGAACCTCCTGGCAGGGCTCCTCCTCCTCCTCTTGTGTCCGGGATAACGCAACCTCAGGAGCTCCTCTCTCGGCCTCGGGGGCGTCCGGGGGACTCTCCACGGACACGCCGGAAGATATCCGCTTCTCGTGATCTGTGATGATGCTCTGGTACTCCTGGTGAGTCTTGCTCTGGTTCTCCGTTATGAACTTGATCACGCTGCGGTAGGTGGGCAAGAATCTGTATGGGGAGAGGTGAATGGTAAACACTTCAAGATGCTTTCCGACTTCCTCAAACCCGCTACAGACTGGAACCTCACCCAGAAAACCTAATACGAATTCAAATTGATTTCGTGGGGTTGAATGCTACTTCACACCTAACTTGTGCATTTAAAAAGTGGTCCTTAAGTTCTTGCCTGTGGTTCAAGGCCTGCAACCCAGACTTTTACAAGAGCCAACGAGCCACTAGACAGATGTCCGCAGCTCGTAGCTACACATTAAATATTATCAAGAGATGAATACAAGAAAACTATAAGATTATCACCTCATTTGACCAGTTCTCAAATAATATTAATTGATCTTATATAGAGACCCATAATATTCCTAAAGGATAATAATAATAATATAATAAAAGGAATATAAATATAATAAAGAGGATAATAAGGACAATAATAATAATAATAATAATAATAATAATAATAATAATAATAATAATAATAATAATAATGAAGAAACTCACTACAATGCCGTAGTAAGTATGTTGACCAGACCACACACTAGAAGGTGAAGGGACGACGACGTTTCGGTCCGTCCTGGACCATTCTCAAGTCGATTGTCCGTAGTAAGTAGCTTCCAGGAACAAGATTCGAGGAGCTTGTGTTTATAAATCTGAGCAGAGTGCCTCATGTGGCGCCCATCATAAGACGTCTTTGTGATTATGCTCCCCAGAGACTCGCCAGGGACTCGCCAGGGACTCGCCAGGGACTCGCCAGGGACTCGCCAGGGACTCGCCAGGGACTCGCCAAGGGACGACCAAGTTTCAGAGGAATGCTCAGTAATTATGATTTCTGGGAAGTGTGGTCTGGGTTCCGCGGAATTATTATCCCTACTCTGGACACGACAAGATCTGGGCACCACAGGGTCTGTGCCCGTGTGAGTTAATAAGATTAGTTAGTTCTGCGTCCTTAAGAATCAAATTTTACGGTTTATCGGGTCTACTTTACTAAAAGACTTATTGTCCTTTTCTGTCTCTATAGAATCTATAATTACCCTTTTTATTAGGCATTTTCTCTCTGATATTTGAGCAGTTGTATATAATTCTGCTATTACTAAAATCCATCTATATGATTAAGATCCCAACAATGGTTAGTACGTTATTCTTATACAATTTCGATTCCTGCTTTTTCGTGTGTGTTTATCAGCTGTTTTCAATACACCACCATGACCGAACTAACTCACATATGATAAATTACAGTCATTATAATTTATCACATAAACACCATTATCTACATTGTTCTCAATATTATTAACATTATCAACGTTACCATTGTTCCCTCTATCCCCGTTACCTGTGCTAACAACACTCCTGCTGTTATTAAGTAGGTTACACCCAATACTTTGGTTTTTAATACACTTACACATGTAAGTGTGAAAGAAAGATGGAAGTCTTTACTTCACCACTAATAATAATAATAATAATAATAATAATAAATCAATATAGATTAATATGTCTGTCTAATTGAGGTTGGAAGCCAGATGCTTGAGGTCAAGCATCTGGTTGGTTGATGTGGGATACGTGTCAAACACGATTGGGCCAATCATTTAGCACTGCACAATAAGAAATGTATATGGAGAAGGCACAGGTGTATAAAGCCACGTGTATGGAGAAGGCACAGGTGTATAAAGCCACGTGTATGGAGAAGGCACAGGTGTATAAAGCCACGTGTATGGAGAAGGCACAGGTGTATAAAGCCACGTGTATGGAGAAGGCACAGGTGTATAAAGCCACGTGTATGGAGAAGGCACAGGTGTATAAAGCCACGTGTATGGAGAAGGCACAGGTGTATAAAGCCACCTGTATAGTAAAACATTATGCGCTGATATCTGGAAAGGTTCCAAAAAATTATATCTATCATATTTTTGCGGTAATAGGCAAACATATGTTAATGACAACACCGTCGTGGTTACACCTGGGGGCTCAGTGGTGGTACGGGCCACTACCCAGTTGACCAGACCACACACTAGAAGGTGAAGGGACGACGACGTTTCGGTCCGTCCAGGACCATTCTCAAGTCGATTGTGAACTGAGCCTCGACCTCACTGAGCCTCTTGTCACTGAGCTTCGACCATCAGTGAAAAGGGGACCCCAGCGACACACACACATATTGAAGACAAAGAGAGATACAAGGAGATAAAGAGAGAGAAAGGGCGATAAAGAAACAGACACAAATAGAGATAAGGAAGAGAGAGAGAGAGAGAGAGAGAGAGAGAGAGAGAGAGAGAGAGAGAGAGAGAGAGAGAGAGAGAGAGAGAGAGAGAGAGAGAGAGAGAGAGAGAAAGAGTAAGAGATATAACCATGAAAGAAGAACATGCTATTGACACAAGAGCAATTATGACACCGCGAGAACCCGTATGATACAAGTGCCAAAATGTACCGATGACTGTTGGCCCGAGGACTCGAGAAATATGATCAGGTGGGCTCCGTGGGAGAGTAAAACTCTGCGATAGATACATGACACATGACCAAGAGGACTACTATCTGGGGGATGATACATTCCACTTGGATAATACGATGACTGGTCACAACTGATTACGACCAGCTGTTCACAGCCACGTGAGTTGAAAAGGTGTATACAGCCACGTGTATGGAGAAGTCACAGGTGTATACAGCCTCGTGTATGGAGAAGGCACAGGTGTATACAGCCACGTGTATGGAGAAGGCACAGGTGTATACAGCCACGTGTATGGAGAAGGCACAGGTGTATACAGCCACGTGTATGGAGAAGGCACAGGTGTATACAGCCACGTGTATGGAGAAGGCACAGGTGTATACAGCCACGTGTATGGAGAAGTCACAGGTGTATACAGCCACGTGTATGGAGAAGGCACAGGTGTATACAGCCACGTGTATGGAGAAGTCACAGGTGTATACAGCCTCGTGTATGGAGAAGGCACAGGTGTATACAGCCACGTGTATGGAGAAGTCACAGGTGTATACAGCCTCGTGTATGGAGAAGTCACAGGTGTATACAGCCACGTGTATGGAGAAGGCACAGGTGTATACAGCCTCGTGTATGGAGAAGGCACAGGTGTATACAGCCTCGTGTATGGAGAAGCATCACGTGTTTAAATTCCAGGCACCTGGCGCTCACCTGTGGGAAACATCCTCAGGGAACAGCTAATTAAAAATATTTAAATTTAACAGCTTGATCAGCGCGTAAAGCAAAAATTATTACCTCACGAAGAATGCTTAATAAGTGGAAAATTGTTAGGGGGTCGAATGTAAAATATAATAATTTTTAACTAGTAATATTTTCGTTCAACAAAGATCTCAACACTTTCAGACAGGTTGAACATAAGTTGTGTATTATTTACTCTATATTTTTTTATCGAAGGATTTTTTATTATTTAAGTTTTCGTAAATAATATTACGAAACAAATAATGATATTAAGGAAACAAATAATAGTAACACAGACGAAATTAACACCAAACAGGAGAAGTGATAACGAGAGAGAGGAGAGAGAGAGAGAGAGAGAGAGAGAGAGAGAGAGAGAGAGAGAGAGAAAAAAAAAATGTTTTCAAGACACCAACAAAGCAAGGTAAGAAAAGGTAGTTATCAGGAGAAACCACTAAGCCATTACGAAAATATAGAGCACTTGGAAAGGATAAGAATAAAGTTATGGGATAGAGCGGAGGAGGGGGGGGGGGGCGAAGGAATGCAGGATGCCCAACCGCTTTGACGGTCGGGGGATTGAACACCGATGACCTGCATGAAGCGAGACCGTCCAGTGCAAGGAGAGACGATTCCTTCGCCATACTTCAAATAATTTCTCAAGGTAATTATGAGGAAACATCACTATACCAGGATGACCATATGACACTCGGAAGGGATATGAGCACGGACTGAAAGATATATGCTTAACCACTTGCACCATAGGGGATCGAACGCCGTCCCTGCAGCAACCAATTCAACTCGGTGGAAAGCGACACTATGATATAAACTCCTTAAAAAAAAAAATGGAACTCGTTCTGAAAAAAAATATTGTCGACTGAAAAAGACCGAACACCGAGAATCTTTAATTAATCTTTTAGAGAACTGGATAATGACAGAACATAACATTGCAGAATTATATTATATATTATATATATATATATATATATATATATATATATATATATATATATATATATATATAGTATATATATATATAAATATTATTATTGTTTAATTTTTATCCATTTATTACAGCTTTCTCTACATTTCTCTATCTTTATTTTAATGTATTTTAGCCTGACAAGAAGCGAATATTCAGGTCCCTTCAACATGTTCTGTTGGGAGCTTGTAGGCGCGTTCACCCCTGCAAAAGTGCCGACTCACTTTCAAGGTTACTCACCTCATACCGTACCCAGGTTACTCACTTAAGTAGTGTCTAGGTTACTCGCCTCAGCGTTGTTTATGTTACTCACCTCAGTCGAGGGATGAGGTTATTCATCTGAGTCACGGCCTGATTATTTCCCAGACCCCCGGTTACTCATCTGAGTGAGTCCGGGTTACATTCGAGAGCCGTGTCCAGGTTACTCACCTGAGTCGTCCATAGGTTGCTCACCTACTCCGCACCCCGGTTACTCGCCTGACACACTACAGAGCTGTAGTGGCCCGACATGACGCAAGGTTACTCACCTGAGCCGTCTATACGTTACTCACTTGACATTCACTTAAGGCCAGTCACTTAATCCGTATCGAGGTCACTCACCTGAGCCGCGCCAAGGTCACTTACCTGAGCCGCGCCAAGGTCTCTCACCTAAACCGCCTCAAAGGTCACTCATCTGAGCCGTCCCGAGGTCACTCTCCTAAGCAACCCCCAAGGTCACTCACCTAAGCCGCCCCCAAAGTCACTCACCTAAGCCGCCCCAAAGTCACTCACCTAAGCCGCCCCAAAGGTCACTCACCTAAGCCGCCCCAAAGGTCACTCACCTAAGCCGCCCCCAAGGTCACTCACCTAAGCCACCCCCAAAGTCACTCACCTAAGCCGCGCCAAGATCACTCACCTAAGCCACCCTCAAGGTCACTCACCTAAGCCGCGCCAAGGTCACTCACCTAAGCCAGGGAAGGAAGTTGAGAGGCCCTGAGACACCCACGAGCTTCGTTCCTTCCTCCAACAGGAGGCGGAGCCAACGCCACTTTGGGTCCTCCTCCCTGTAGGTGATGCCGAAAATCAGGTGATTCATGGTGTTGCCGACGTGATGCAACAGGTGGTGGGAGATGTCCACCGGCGTCCCTCGACTCTCCGCCAGCTCCTGAAGGAGGAGGAGGCGTCGAAGTTCCCACTATGGTAAGAATTCACCCTTCACCTATACTAACGAGGAGGAAATTGGGGTTTTAAGAGCGGTTTAATCACCTCTGAACGCCGGTTTGTCCTGAGCGAGGTCCTCGGGTTAAGATATCTGAGATGTTTTTTATCTATGTTTAAGATTTTTTTTTAGTTTATTTCTTTATTATGGACCACCATAGCCATCCCGTGGGCGGTGGTGTAAAGGGTTACAGAGGCACATAATGGGTTCAGGAACTGAACCCTCTAGTTCGTTTAGCTAAGCAAATAACAATCTTTTGACGCTAGTTACACAGTTATTAGTGTTACATACATGTGCACATACTCATACATACATGTACATATATATACATATACATATATACATACACATATATATACAATCACCTACACAAATACACACATCAATAATCTTTTGTATCACAAGTGATTCAACAAGAGGCTCACAACAGTCACTATACAAGGCACTTGTACTAGTGCAGGAAGTGCACCATACATTGTCCACTCCTTGCACTATGGTGAGTCACACACTGACTAGTCTTGCTCCACACACTCACCCAGCTTGGCCGCATCTCAGTACACTGGATCAGTGCGAACAGCTTCGTTTGCTGTGCCCGGTAGTTTAAGACCAATGATATTAACATAAGATCAATATAAGACACACACAAACTCATCCAAAGTCTCTCCTTGACGCTGGCAACCCCCCCTCCCCCTTCAGTGGCATTCAATGCAATTCATTTATTTAAAAAAATTCTAAGACAATGAAGCTTGAAAAGTTTTCAAAACTATCAATTTATGAACACTTGCAAGACCTTATACAGTTACTTGAAAGGGGGGTCTTACGGTTAATTAAGTCTTTGAAACTAATGGATATTTAAGACCCGATATATTAGTCGTTTCAAGGAACCTGCAATGAAGTAGTTTTTTAAAGAAATTTGTTAAGAATATATACTTTGGTTATAGCAAATTACCAGAGGGTTGAGAAGAGGATGAGGAGGGAGTATGTTCCCAGTCACCAGGGGGCCCCCACCTCTCCACCGTGGGCGGCCCACTCCTCTATGGGGCCCCCTCCCATGCTTCCTACACACACACAGACACACACACACACCTCCGGGGGCCCCTTCCCAAACATGGTCCCGTTCTCCATGGTCCCCCTTGTTTGGTCCACTTCTCCGTGAGCCAAAATGTGTGGCCCACACTCCGAAGGAGAAGTGATGGAGGAGTGATGGACAGTTTCGAAGGAGTAACGGACAATGTTGGAGGAATAATGGACAATGTTGGAGGAATAATGGACAGTGTTGGAGGAATAATGGACAGTGTTGGAGAGGAGAGATCGTTGTAGTGATGGCAACTAAGTGTTGAAGGAATAATTAAATCTGTTAAGCAAAAATATCACAATCAAAATAATTCCCATACACTCTCTCTCTCTCTCTCTGCTCATAATCTCTTAGACTCACAATCTCTAAGCTAACAATCCCTGCACTTACACACATCTATATAAACCTCACACCATCAGACAACTCATTAAACTCTAAAGTAACATCAACAAATAACCATGAACTTAAGACCCACCTGCGTCAGGTGGGTGGCCACGGCGTGGATCTGGGGCTCCATGGCCGCCCTGGTGGCCGTGGTCCTCATGCCATGGTCCCGCATGAAACCCAACACGAATTTCCGGTGTTCTCGCCACAGGTCGCCCTCCGAGCAGATGAGACCTGCAGGCACACGCTCGGATTATATAATGCTGCCGTGACGTTGTTGTTGATGGTAAAGATTCGCTACCTGGAACCAAAAGATCCAAGTAGCACGGGCTATGGCGAGCCCGTAGTAGAGTCCGTGACGGCTGGGAGAGGAAGTGATGCTGCGACGTCAGAGGGAGAGTGTTGCCCCGACGCTGCTGACCTGCTGTGTGGTCCCTGACCTGCTCAATGGCCAATCAGCGACGTTGTGTCATTGTGTCAGGGGGAAAAAGCTTCTCTCATATATTTATCTCATTGAGAGGAAATGTCTGTCTGAAGTAGCTGTCAGACGCTAGGGGATAGCCTCACTAAACATTGCAGGGTGACTGGTGTGGGCTACAGGCAATACATAAGAGTAGTCGGTGTCGAGTCCCATATATCATCCCTCTCCTCCTCGCGGACTGAACCCGGGGATCCCTCGGTTGTGGACCAATAACGAAGACTACTATGTTCCAGGTTCCCTACTGAGTCTGTGCATGCGTCACAGCACCGTTAACAGCGGCGGACGTCTGAGCTTATAGTCACCGATGAAGAGTCGTAGACCAGTGAATTGCCCCCAAACGACCCCCAGGCGGAGAGTGGGGAGGGGGGGATTCCAGAGAAAGCAATTGCTGGAAATCCTTTGAAACGAGCCCCGCTAACGGGAGAAATATTGTTTAAAAGAAGCTAATTCACTCTGGGTGAGAACCAGCCCAACCGCCTCCGTTGATACTGTAGTGGTGGTTGGGCCCCGCTTGCTTCACCGTGCCGCCGCGTGGGACTCCCGCCATAATAACCTGCCACTCCTTGGGTGTATGAAAGTAGAATTTTCCTTCATTTCTGCATTAATTTTTGCCTTCAAGACGGATCAAGCTACCTGAACCGCCGCCCCCCCAGACACCTAGCTCCCCCTCCCCCCAAGAGGCACACGAGACTTCCTTGAACTCTTGCACAGCTGCAAGATCAGGTCAAAATAGAATGAGAGAGAGAGAGAGAGAGAGAGAGAGAGAGAGAGAGAGAGAGAGAGAGAGAGAGAGAGAGAGAGAGAGAGAGAGAGAGAGAGAGAGAGAGAGCAAACATCCTTAACACAACATTGACCTCAGGACCACCAGCTCCAGCCGACCACAGCTTCCGGAAACAGTGTGAGGTGTGAGATGTGAGGTGTGAGATGTGAGGGGTGAGGTGTGAGGGGTGAGGATGAAGGGTGAGAGGTGAGGCTTATAACCCCCCTCTCCCCCTTGCATGCAGACCAATCAACCACCAATGTCAAAATCACGTTGCCCAATATATATATATATATATATATATATATATATATATATATATATATATATATATATATATATATATATATATATATATATATATATATACGTGAAATTCAGCATTGTTGAGACTTGCACTCACAACTGATGCCAACAGAATAACTGGACTCGCGGCATTGGACGCGGCGTCGGCAAGGGCAATGAACTAAAGGCCAACAACAGGAGAAAAAAAAATCTATGAGCCGGACTGGGGGTCATCGCATCTTGTGATGTGCCTCAGGGGGGCGAGTGGTGGTGGGGGGCACCTCCCCCCCCCTCCCCATCTCTCTCTTATCTGCCACCGTGACCCATCGTTTCTCATCTTCCCTCCTCCTCCTCCCCCCCTAAACCCACTCTGGTTAGATTAACCGTCTTGATTAGGACAGTAATTATTAACATCTGTCTAATTTCTGTCTCTATGGTATCATAAAGGTTAAATTTAACTACGACAATGTGAAACGCGATCAAAACAAAACGAAAAACACCGTACAGCAAATATATATATATATAAATATATATATATATATATATATGTATATATATATATATATATATATATATATATATATATATATATATATATATATATATATATATATATATATATATATGGCTGGTGCTACGAGGCCCAGATGCCCACCCAGCAACAAATATTGTAATGAGCGACCCTTTTTTTTTTGTGTGAGTCCGTCTTGGGCCTCAAATTCCAGCGACGGGACAGGAGCGACAGATGTCACCCGTCTACCGTATTCATGACAGGGAGGCTGAGGTTAGTGACACCAGTCGCCCAGCCCTCGACGCTTCGGCAAAAAAAAAAAAAAAACTAAGCCTACTTGAGAACAATGAACCGTGGATGCCCGCACTCATCAAGAACTTCAAAGACCTTCACCACGGGTATAGACGATCCCAGACTAAACTTACTAAAATAAATCGACTTGAGAATGGTCCAGGACGGAACCGAAACGTCGTCGTCCCTACACTTTCTAGTGTGTGTGGTCTGGTCAACATATTTCAGCCAGGTTATTGTGACTCCTCGTCTGCTTACCAAAATCAACGAAATGTAACAAGTTCTATATATATAGTCTTTTTAAGACCCTCAATATACTCCTCAAGACAGTTGCATGCTATACTGATGTCTCTGTAGACCTAGAGTCCAACCATACCCCCATCAGCATGGTGTGGACATGGTTGGC